TTCTCCAGTTGTTTATCTTTTTAAATTATTTTTGAAGAGGCTAAGGAGGAGGTGAATGATGTGCCTAGAAAAAAAATCAAATAATTAATTCAGGCTATAAATGGGTACTTTTTAATGTGATTTTGTGTAGCATACAGAATGTACACAGCATGCCTCTTTTACTGTATTCACTGTATATTTGGTGTGGTTAAGATCTCTGTGTGTTCCATGAAAATCAACACAAGTACACTGGAATTAAAAACAGGTGAGCTGGTTCACTGATTGGTTGAGTTCACATCTTTGAGGACATTATTTTGTGTTTTTTAGCACATGTAGTGTCATCCATACAATGTTTTTATATAATTTCTTCTTCTTCTATAAACAGCTTCTATATTTCAATCTATTTAAAAATACAAACTTCTGACTGTACCTGCACGTTCAGTGTTACCAATCAGAGAAGTAACTAGTTTTTAAAATACTGTAAATACCATATTCCTGGAATTTCACATTTCTAATGTTTCTAATTCCAAGCTTCTTCAGCACATTTCCTTTTGGAAATAAAGCACAATGATCATCATAACTCGGGAAATCAGTGGAAATGCAAATGTGTTTAACACAGAAAACAGGGAGATGACTCGTCAAACAAAGCTATTGAACCAACCCGCGAAAGCTAAATCACTTGAACGATTTGCAGTCTAGCTTGATGAGATCCTTGAATTAATGTGCAGTATTCAACAAAGTGTAATGAGTTTGACAGGTCGAACAGCTTGATCTCATTCATAACATTTACTTTCCTTTCTTTGTGAACGGAGATCAAGGACTGCAATGCCTTCCTTATTGGGCCTGTTGAGGTTCTACATAGACTTCACTATGTCAGGATTCTGTTGCTTGAAAATAACTGCAACTCCTCTGCAGTGCCACCTGCACTGACACACTGTACAACAGGCTGGAGCTTAAGGTTCTCATTGGTCCAGGCACCACCGAAACCTGCAATTTCAGCCAACCTGCTTCTAGAGTCCTCTAGGCTCACAAGATGGTGATTGTGAATGGATGAGGTTATTGGTGAGTGGTGTTTGTGAAAATCATGTTAATCAAGGGTTAGTTTTTATAGCATGCACAGTGCTAGTGGGAGTTGGATCTGTGATTTTGGACAAACCCCTCTCACCAGCAATATACTGTAATCAGTTAACATTCTCATATGGGGCTAATTAAGGAATTAGTGAGGGTTAGGTGGTAACTCCCACTTGAATGTCTGACCTGGTGGCTCTCTGTTCAGATTGCCTGTCAAGGGTGATAGAGCTTTTTCTAGTACAATGTCACGCTTGTGCGATTCATTGTCCAAACCCGTCAGAAATTTGCTTGAACACATTTTTATCATTGCTTTTAACATGCAGTTTTGTTTATCCTTGGTTTCATTTGGAAAGTGCTTAAAAAATCTGTATTTGCAAGCAGGTCTCTATTAAAGTTCTACTGTCGATTTATTCGGACAGCGGAGCAGGTGAGGCATTAAAAGAACGCCCCGCATGTGACGCCTGGAAAATTGCTACAATTGCGTCAAAAATGTCCGCAGGTTCAACAGTGACGTCGTGCAGCACTACATTCGGAATATCAGCACAAAAGATCATGAAACTGCACAGAGACGGAGAGCCTCAACAATAAAACACACCTTGCAGAAATGGTGCTTTCTGGGATGCAGCACTCAACGGATTGGACACCTAAACCGAACATGATAGTAAAATAAAAGCAATTAAAGTTGCCGTTGCATATCCAAGAATAGAAGGAAACAGATTGATTAAATTTCCTTGAGTCTGACATGCTTAGATTGACATTGTGTATGATAAAATAATTTAATAACTTTTATACGAGAACATATGTTCTGTTAAAAGAATTAGAGGATTGTGATGAACTGTTCTTTTTAAAGAAAACAATTGCATGTCTTGTTTTCTGTAGTGTCAATGCAAATAAAAACTGGGACACTGGGTCTTATTCAATAGCAATTATTCAAGCTACTGCAACAGCAAGGCGACCTGCAAGCGCCTTAGATTTCCTAAAGCGTTGTTACTTTTTAATTTTACAGTCCTTCGATCATTTTTGCATAGTTGAGCGAATGCAATGCATTCCTTTAGGCTTTAACAGAAATGGCACTTTTTTTTGGCGCTGCTTAGAGCGCCAATAGCTGTTACACTCGCTGAAGTCAGGCGGGGCCACAGCAGTACAGTACATGTTATCATTACCTCTGCAGTTGATTCTGTTGAGTTCAAACGCCTTAACAGAGGAAAGGTATCGCTAGAAACATTTTAACAGGTAAATAAACTGTAATGGGGTTATTCTACGAAGAGTGATGGTAAACCAGTAGTGGAAGTAGTTTTTCTTGAATAATAACTATGGTAACGATGGTTTGTGACTGACATTTATTAAAGAGCATTTTATTAGTTTGTTCAGAAACGTTCGCGGAGCGGTTGCAGAAATGATTTGGATATACAAAGAACGTCGCTGTAAACCGTTTAGGAACGTTTTCAAATAACTGGAAATTTCAATCTATTTTTTCTATGCATTTAATTAGAATTTGTTAGCAATTAAATTACTTTGAAAATGCTTCTCTTATTCAGCTTTTTCCAGTGGTCTGTCTGACCCTGAATGCCATGATAGTTGATGTTCAGTTTTTTATGTACTATGCTAAAACATTTACAGCCTGCTGTTGTTACGACCACAAACCGTACCTTAAGAAACAGTAAAGAACTGAACTTTTAAACGGCCGAAAAGCTATGGGCTCTCACTCCATCTAGCGGTGTAGTTTGTACACCGCAATCCTCTCTTTTATTGACGAGAGCGATGTGGAACTTTAATTTGTCAAATAAGAAACTTGAGTTTTGCAGAAGTATGTTTTTGTGCTGAAGTTTTAAGATATATCATTTTCAGCCAAGACAAACAAGTAATGTTTGTCATCCATTTGCAACAGCAACAGAATGCTGTTTTTTTCTATTTTCTTTAGTTATACAGGCTTAGAAAAAAACACTTGAAGATCAGAAGAACGTCATAATCAGATTGGGTTTTTGGATATGGCAGGCTCATCTAAAATGGAGGGTGAGTGTTATATACACGCCTGAATCAAAATGATGTGAAAATACATATTTTTTTTCTGGGCAGTTTGAATCCTGCTTTTAAAGTATAATTTACTTTCCTAGATCCACGTGTGCTTTAACGAATCATCACTCCTTCAATGCTTAGTGAAATGTCATCTCCCTGCAGCTCTGCAGACTTGGCTTTTCTTGTGCAGTTTGTAAAAACCTCAGAGGTCTTGGAAATTCCCTTCTCTGCTCTCTTGATCACAGTAAGAAAACAAGTACAACTCCCTTCTGCTTCCTGTGTGTTTATATTTTCCATCATGATCCACCATGATTTAAATTATTCATTTAAATTGGCAATTTAATTACACAGCTAAATATTCAGATTGAGTGAAGAATCTTTAGCCTTCAGCTCTAGAGCAGGTAGTGGTTTAAATAGATGTGGGAAAACACGTTGGGCTGAGTAATGCAATGTGTGTGTTGGAAATATTTTGTTTAGTGCCGTGAGGGGAATTTTCTAAAAGAGGTGTTTATTTTCCCTTAGATGTGGAATGTGCATGGGAGATGCTGAAGGAAGCAAGGATCAAGGTGAGCTCAGTGTTTATTCACCAAGTAATCTAAATACAGCAGAGAACCCGTCTTTCCTCGTGCTCTCAGAGTCTATATGGATCGTGCTTTGCTGGTCTGTATTCTTCTGCAACAATCAGCCGAACACTAGCTCTCTCTTCTTCTGTTCTGGTTTCTTTCCTTGGGGTACTCCAGAGTATGCTGTAAGTCTAGAAACAAATGTGACAGGCCCCAGACAAAACAAGGTGCTGGGTCACTCCATGTCAAATCACATACTATGACACCCACCATCTTAGATTGGTCAGAAATAATTGGTTTAGTTAGAGACAGAGAAGTTTATGACTGCTCTTCGTAGTGTGATAGAGGATGCCCTGAAGAGAAAAAAAGTAAAACAAAGAGTAGCCATGAAAAAAAGTTTGTTTTCCCCAAATTGTCAAATTTTACATCGCTAGCTGACAAAATCAAATTCCTGACCTTCTTAACTCTACATGTCAAAGTCATCATCTCTTGAAGGTAAAGCTTTAAAAACATTTGAGGACATTTTTTATCTTTCACCTTTTCTCACTTAGGAACAGTGGCACCCCATGGTCAGAAATTGGTATTATCTCTATAATGTGACATTTCACAACATTTTCATAAATCTGTGCTGGAGAAAAAGAAAAAGACCATCAACGTTTTTTCTGGGAGTAAATGAGAAAGGTTGAAGACACAATCATCCAAGCTGCAGCTCTACTGCCTGTCCTTCATAGAGACTGATGTTACAAGATGTTCATTTGGATGGGTGAGGGGTGGGGTGGGGTGGGGGGTCCCATGGGTGACGTTTGACCATTTATTTGTATTCCTCGTGTCCTAATCATTTTCAGGGAAGAGCGTGGTACAAATTGGATGCTGGAAATTATACTGAATATTTTGTGAATCCAACCATTTTCGGTGCCATCAACTAGCTACATTTTCCACAGACCAAACTGAACAGACCACATTTTTACACAAAAACATTACAGGGATGCTTCTCTTTCTCTCCAACTATATAAATCATTTCAGAGCAATCCGAGATGGTGAGTGTCAAAATCCAAATTTCACCATTATTTCAGAGGGGATGACCCTGGTTCAAGGGGTCTGGACACATTAAAAAATTCAAAATTCCTTGAATACGTAAGGTAAAACGAGACTTTACTGCAATACCGCTGCTGTAATAATACAAATACTGTATCTTCTATTTGAAAGGCTTTTACTGTTTGTATCAAACATTCCTTTAATCACACACATGTGAGAATGACTGCCAATTTCACCAATTAGCCAGTGTATTACTGTTCACCCTGTGTGTCTATTTACAGATATCAGAGGTCTTAAAAGCCTCGTGTGATTTTTTTTTTTCTGATGCAGCCAACTGATCTCCTCTCCCTCTACTGCTTTCAGCTCCATTTAGTTGAGGACGGTCTGGGTTTACAGGACAGGGTGACAGAGGAGCCCAGAGCAGTGACGGGAGCAAGAGAACTAGAGAGACAGAAAGGTATTCCAAGGTTATTCTGATCTGATCCAAAAATGCATTTGAAATACAATCGTTTCTTAATATATCAATTAAATACATGTTCTGGAACACTTCACTACGGTTGCACTCCTAATAATCAAGAAATGATAAAGTAACATCTTAAGTTATGAAGCTATATTGGGGTGGTGCGGTGGCTCTGTCACTGGAAGGTTTCCAGTTTGTATCCCGCGGTTATTAATAATAACAATAGTATTAGTAATAATAAGAACAATATAATAACGATAATATTTGTCAATGCAGGAGTGAGTGTATACAGGAGAAAAATTATAATTGAGTTTAGAGTAAGGGAATAATAGTTATTTTGGTAAAAATACAATGGTTTAAAGTGATGAAGACCACCTTAAGGGAAAGATATACTGTTGTGGTGACAGTCTAAGACCTGTGTTTCAATCATTTTTACACCACCAAATGAAACCAAATACCTTGCTCTTTCAACATAGAAAACGTGGAAATACCTGAAGATCCCTGTGTGTGATATCTAACCAGTAATGAGATTCCTTATGTGTGTCATTATCTTTGTGTTAATGGTACTTAAAATGTGACTTGAGAATAAATCTTAGTCCTGTTTAATTGTTAGTCAGACCTGTTGGATTCCAATTAGGAACACACCATTTCACTTTCACACAACCCTAGCACAGTTTTTAATGCTGCGTATTGTATTTGTGTGACACTGGAAAAAGGTTTCAGCAACAGAGGTGCTGAAGATTGTTTTACATTCCATTCAGAAAGTTCCCCAGAGATGGATGGATATCTTGGCGCAGAAAGGAGTAGCCTGGATATTGCTACAAATCCAGAAACAGCAGACTGGTCTTTTCTCAGGTAAAGAATTTCTTCCTTGGCCTCGGCTGTAGATGTTGGTGCTGTTTGCTCATATCATGAGTTCAGTTCCCACAATGCTGTGCACCTGTGTCTACTCTCTTTCTGTTTTTATAGAAAAGGTCATGGCAGACTTCAAAACTTACAACAACAATAGTAATTTCTTGCATTTGCATTTTAATTTCCAAGTACTTATACATACAGTAGGAGGGACCCACTTCACCCACCACTAAAGTACAGCACAAGACAGCTGTCAAGCACCAGCAGCCCCACTACAGAGCACATCAGGTGGAGAAGTGAGAAACTGTTTCTCCTATTACCTTTACATTCCCCTCATGGAAAACTGCAGGACAATGCTGATCTCCCATATCATCTAATTCCAGCTGCTAAATTTGTTTTCACAGCAGTGAAACTAGTATTTAAAAATATGAATGAGGATGAACTGACCACAAGAATGTGAAAATATACTGCCCTGCCAGTCGCTTTCATAAAGGTTTAGCAGCCAAATCAAAATGCAGCGCAACAGACAGACTGCAGGAACTGTGCACTGACCTGGTAAGTAGACCAGAGGCTGAATCCAAACACAGGCTCGAGCCCAGCAAGGTGCAGCAAGTTGGTGGTAGTGAAGAAGATACGAAGCGTCTTTCAGGACCCTATGCAGATGACACAATCCGGAAAGGATTGAACACACACAGGGAAGAGACGAGGAACAGGGCTGGTAGACGAATAGGGCGGGGTGTGTGTGGTCCAGGGCGAACAGTCCAAAAGGGAGTCCACAGGGAAATCCGTGGTGAGGCAAATGTCCAGAGCCGGGTGATCAATCCAAGACGAACAAGACAAAGTTAAAAGCCGGAGCGGGATCCGGGAAGGGGGAATGGAACCAAGTGCTCCAGGTCCCGGACTTGGATGGTTCAGGAAACCAATGCAGAGCCCGGAACAGAGTGAGCGTCTGGATTTTGTGGGGAGACAGGAAGAGGGAGTAGGTGCACAAAATCAACTAAAAAGTGAACGAGCTGGAGCACCCTTAAGGGCACAATCTGATAACAAATCGAAAGGGATCGGAGCAGAAAAAAGTCAGTCAAAGCATGGTCAAACAAGCAGGGTTGGTACACAGGATGGCAGGCAAAAAAACAGGAGTCATCCAGAGATGTAGTCCGAGTAAAGAGGAGTCGAAGCTGAGGGAGAACAGCAAAGCAAGCATGGAGCCAGGGAACACTAGAGACAACAGAGAAGACTTGATGACTGAGCAGGGAGCACAGTCATCTCGTGTCCTAAATCTCATAAGAGGTGGATAACTGAACATGGGTGGGATAGATTTTCATCCTAATCTTTTTGTTATGGTAATAGATGAGTTTAGAGGACAGGTGGAGGCTTATCCGGTTGCATCAGTAGAATGGGTTATGACACAAACTATATATCATAAGTCACAAAATAACCTCTACTTCAATATGTAATTACGTAATGTAAATTATATACGTTTTCTGATGGTGCAGTATGCACAATGTTGTTAATGAACAAATGATTGCGAGTTTGTGTTTTTTACAGGGAAAATATTACAATAGCACAAACTTACCAAAATATCCAAAACCCCCCATCCTTACTGTGGAAAAACAAGGAATTTGTCAAGTGCACAATACTGTTGCTGAGACATAGCGACTTTTCAGTGATCACAGTCAGGTCCAAAAAAAACTACAATAGATTAGCTGAGTGTTTTGCTCCCTCAGTGAAATCTGACCATTAGAAATTTAGTGGATGTTTAATGCTGCCTAAAGACGATGTCTCTTCCTTTGTTTGTCTATATGTCTATCAAGTGGAGATCAAAAAAACTACCAGACAGAGTTAGAGAACCTATGATAATAATGGAAAATGTATTCCTTTGTCATATTTTTTTTCTGGTTTTTAGCTAGGAAAACTGTGAGGAACTGTATTAATCCTCTTGCAGAATTTTGTTTTTTAGTAGTAAACATATTGGAAAAGCACTGAAAAAAATTTGACTTGTAATGAAAGAAAATGATGAGCATTTGTTATTTTTTTCATTTTTTTGGATACTTTTTCTGTTCTGCACTGAAATGGATGTGTAAAAAATCTAATGTTTAAGGTATGATGCCCAAAGGTTAACCTTGAATTTGAACCCTGGAACAGGCCTATATTGTCTATATTTTCCAAGATTGTACAAGACGTTTAAGGGCATGTCCATCCCAGGCACAAAAGGCCTGTGGAGGGCTGGGGGTTATTTAAATTTAAATTTGGGGGACCAGCTTGTAAATGCCCAACTTGGAATGTATCCTAGATACTGGGCTTAGCACACTTGCTCTTATGAACAGTGCTATAGGTGCTATAATACACAAGTACAGTAGTCAGGACCACTGTTCCACGTCTTATCCAAAGGACAGAGCTTCTACAGCATGGAGTCAAAGGTCACCTTACAAAGACATTGATTTGGAAATTCTGGTCATGAGCCAAGACTGCCACCCAGTGGTCCATCAACAGACAATACATTGCTCAGTGGAATGTTTCACATAGCAAAAAATGGATTAAGCTAACCCAGGACCTTAAATGTTATGAAAATAAATGAATAATTGTTAATGGTTTGATATTTCCAAGCTTTTGGAAGCCGGTACAGTATACCCATGCAGCTTGTCAATGCTATCCCAGCTGCTGTACTTTTACTTACATCCTGGTATGATGTCTCACTTCTTGACAGCGGTGAGATCTTACACAAGAACCAGGCGCAGAAATCCAGGGAGAGCCAGGGCAGCCAGGGCCCAAGTCTGGGACAGGAATCATGGAATCCGAGGAATAGCGCCTTGTCCCTCTCCTCGCTCACACAAGACCGCCGCAGACAGCTCCTGAAGGCAGGGTCACCCAGAGGTCGCACTCTTGACCGCCTCCAGCAGCGAATCTGCCAACAGAAGCTGAAGCACCGGAATGGGGAGGGAGATGAAGGCCCAATTCATACACCTGTGGTCACCCAGAGAGGCCCTCTTGTTAGGAAAGTCCGGAAGGTCGCTTTTGCGCCTCGTCTGCCAGCCTATAGAGGTCAGTAAGCAGCCTGGATGTCACAGGGGTCAGAAAAACACTAGGAAACGGAGTAATGCCAGGAAAGCCAGTGAGAAAGGAAGATGTTGACAATTTATCTGTCTTCAAGAACAGGAAGCAGGCTTCCAGAAAACTACAGTGTCATATTGTGCCTTTTATTGCAAAAGCTGTTTAATTAAAAAAAAGGCGGTGGCTTTCTTTTGTATGATTAGCCTTCAGTCTTCATTCACACACTGTGATATTTGGATTGAGGGCATTGCAAAGGTGAAAAATGATAAAAAAACAGCTGTAGCTATAGTTACCCCATAAACATCTGGAATTATGGGTAGTTGTTGTGTATGACCAGTCAAAGTGTTTGGGCAGGAGCCGTTTACTACAATTTTTTTGTAGCTTTTTGTTTTATCAGTTTTATTTCTGAAAGAGACTACACCAGAAGACAATAAAACGCACTGTCTTAGAAAATATATCTATCTTTCATCATATGTTTTTCACTAACATGTAAGTTACAGTAGTGCTGTTCCCAGTTGGGTCTTGAGTCTTCACAGGAGAGCTATTAATCAAGCATCTAAATAAATACAATACTAACACAGGAGTAATAACATTTACAAAGACAGGAGGTTCTTAAACAAAAACAAGTAAAAAAAAACGTTTACAATTAGATGCCTAATCTGTGTTGGTGCAAATCAAATCATAATGTAGATCAGAAAGCATTTTCTTTTGGAAGATTCTGAGCCTTTTCATGAAATGTGAGTCATAAACATAAATGCAATTACACCGTCCAATTGTTAGATTTCTACTTGGAAACTTTCACAATTTACTTGGATAACTAGAGTTGTGGAGGATAACTGTAGCTTTAGAGCACAACATTCTCAGATGGCCTCATTTTACTTTTCATGGTTCATTTGCTGTCTCATCAGGATTAAGTACAGGGAGGGAGAAAACGGACAGATTGGAGAAACCTCTATTTAGTGATAAGTTGTCTACACTGAAATATGGACCTCGCAGATTGACAGGTCAGTGCTGAGCTAGCTAGCTTTTTAGCCACGGAGTTCCAATCAATTCTTAGGCCAGTATTGATTGTTTCTAGAAAAGGTGATGCATTTATAAGGCAGTATTAATATAGTTTGATGTAGGGTTAAGAGATGATGGATTACTTGCAAGAAGAATTAGTAATGCTAAACTATGCTATGTGGCATTTTCTAGTACTAGTATACAATTTATTGAGACATGGAACAAAACAGAAAACCACTTTGTATGCTTAAAAGACTACCAGGAAAGACTTTTCAATATCTGTACTGTTACTTCAAGACAAACACAGTGTCTAATAATCAGACGTGAACTATTTCTGAACTAACCTGAGCTTATAATTAGTACTACAAAAATAAAACAGCTTCTTTTGGCAACATCTTGTTGAAAGTAAGTGTTCATGCCCTAGAATCATGCCTTCATTGCTTTAAATCCTTGAACTGCACTTAATGCCATTTTATAATGTCCAGTTTCCAAGTAGCTTCTATTGTAATACCACAAGCCTGATAGAATAGTAATTATACTGTTGAAATATATTCACTAAGCAGATAATTGCTAAAGAGTCATGCAGAGCAGAACCTTGGTTTGGCATCTCATCCAAAAGAAGGAAATCTTTTACAGTCACTGACAGAGGATCAGAAGGAACTTTCTAATAACCTGCTCATTTCCTGAACTGCTGGACCTGCTAGACATCTGTATGGCTTGTACAGTATGTCTCTCACTTATGCCTCTCTGTCTCCAGGGGGTCAGGAGACAGCAGACAAAACTGTGGGACCTGTGCCTCTAAAAAAGAATGCTATCACAAATCCTTCCTGTTTGAGGATCAGCAATGCAAAGCCAGGTACTGTTTCATCTTTACTCTAAAAAGTATATTCCCTCAACAGAAATAGTCCTAATAGCCCTCGTGAAAGCAGTGTATTATTTCTCCACTGTTACAAATTTTGCTGAAAGACTAGGCTTTTAACGAAGCAAACATGTTCAATCTTGACAATCCACTGCAACAGAACACATTTATTTTCGATCCGTAATGAAAAGAAAGAGAATAATATAAATCGATGATTCCATGTTCGCAAATGTGGAATACCGTCATCACAGTATTCCAATAAGTTTAATATCAGTGGTAAGCAGCATCTCCTGATGTGTACTGTACCGTTTCCTGATTTTTAACAGATAGATCAGTATTTTAGAGAAAATGCAAATAGCACTCTGCTGAGCAAAGCCACACTTATGATACTTCTTTATCCTCATTTCGTAGTCTGTAGTAGAATTCTGTAAAGATGTGTTCTTATTCATTTTACCCTTTTACATCAATCTGTGACAACTGTTCATTTGGCAACTAGGCACCAAGAGGCAGTCCAAGGTGAGGCCTATTTTGATGAATACTGTGTTTTATCATATATCATAGGAACTGGGTGCAAGAGCATTGAATATTTGACAAACTATCACAGTGACCCCATGTAGGCTCAGGCAGTAGGGTGGAGCTCATTGAATCTCCTGAGATCACCCATCATTCATGTCCTCCAAGCAGGGTCAGTCAGGGCTGGAGGAGATGGATGAATTCAAAGGTCACCTCTGACGTTCTTCAGTTAGTCATAATGTCTTCATGTCACCACCAGGCAAAACAGATGTCTTGCATTAGTGTAAAATATCTGTATTAATACTTGTCAAGGGTGTCAACAGGGAATCCTTATCTGGCTATTTTAATAATCATCACCATTTTTAGAAAAATCCCACTGCGATATTGTTTAGTAGAAGCCCAGGCTGTTTATTTGATACCATTACATAATAATCTGTTTAGCAGATAAGTCATTTCAGAATACATTCTATTCTACAATAATGACCTAGTCAACAGGCTATATCTGTTTTGCACAGAAGACCAGAGAACTAATAGAATAATAATAAAAATAATGCATAACAGCTCATAATATAAAGAGAGGTGGCATACGGAAAATTATTCTCTAATTTTCCTTAATGCAGTGTTTGTGATCAGTCCAAAGCACGGATTACAGTTAGATGGCCACTGTGCTTAGAAAATCTCTATGCATATGTTTTGAGTACCTGTGACTTATGACACTGTCATAAGTATGACTTATGACACTGTCATAAGTACACTGAAGTATTGATGGAAATATTTTCAAATTTCAAGTTGTACTGTTTACAGTACCTTCATACTATAAATGACTCACCCCCTTTCACATTTTGTGATGTTACAAACTCAAATAGAAATACATTTATGTGATTGTTAATGTTTAACAAAATGTTTTTTTATATGTTTTGTAAAATACGTGATTGATCAATATTCGGCCTTTTTGCTATACCAGTCCAAATTGATCCAAGGCACATCTCATTTTCCTTGTGAAACCACTCCAAAACTTGAATGGAGACCACCTGTGGTCAGTGCAATTGGTTGACATGATTTCAGAAGAAATACACTTGTCTATATACACCTGTCCCTCAGTTGACAGAGCAGAAACTCGACCAGGGGCTGTCTGTACAAGAATTATGAAGAGGCACAGATCCTGGGGAGTATAAAAATATATCCCCAGTGTTGAAAGTTCCCAGGGGTGCAGTCAGGTTCATCATAAGGCAATGGAATATGGAACCACCCAAACTCTTCCTAGAAGTGCCTTAGTCAGAAAAGTGACCAAGTACCCAATCACCCTGACAGAACTACAGAGGTCCATGGCTGTGTGGCTCCCGAAGGTCTGATGTCGTAGGGGTAGAATGTAAGTTCACAGCTGGGATTCCACAGGCAAGCAGTGCACTGCAGACGTCTCCATGTGTCTCCGCACAGCAAGCCGCGCTCCGGGGGTGTCGGCCTGGAAGGACGCCCAGCGTCTGGTGATGCAGATCCTCGGACCCCCTCGACAGCACCCTGAAACACAGCGAGAAAACAGCGCCCCTCCCTGGACAAGAGGCAAGTGATCCCTCCATGTCACTGCATGGCAAAATGTAATTAATAATAAGCATTATTGTAAACAGCAGTAGTAGCTGTAAATACTGTAGCAGTAGTTGTGGTAGCAACACTAAGCTCTCTGAACTGCCATTACTCATTAGTAGTCAGTAAAAGTAATTGTAGGCCAGAAAAGTATTGCTTCAATGCAGAACTCATTTTTTGTTCAAAATATGTTCTGCTATGATATGCAGGTATGTTTTACGTTGCTGTCATTGACATTTTCAGTCTAATATGGTTGCTTTTCTTTTTTTTTTCCAGACGCACAGTTCCCATGTGGAAAAACGCAAGGGGTGAAGTTTCCAGGAGAACAAAAACGTAGCCCATTTGATGTCATTTCCAATGGAAAACTTTCGTCTCCCCCAAATAGTCAAACGTTCGGTAGAGAAGGCCACACCCCTTCAGAAAATCTCAACTCAAAGACCCTCTTGGAAAAGTGCCCCTCCCCTTCCGGCAGGACCTCTTCTATCTCCAAGGAGAGACCAGCACCTCTAAAGAGTGTTCCCAAATCATCAAGCGCCTCCTCTTTACACACACGTCATGGCATCTCCAACAGCTCCTCCTCTCCCCAAGGAAGCACTTTTTCTGCTGGTCCCACCTCCCTCAGTAATGACCCCCTCACCCCACTGACAACCCTGAGGAGCCCTGACTCTGCGTCACCCACCTCTGCCCTTTGTAGGAACCTATCTGGTGGAAAGGAAAATGTGGGCGTACGGCGCCCCGCGGTATCCGGGAGCCGCAGGGCAGAGGAAGTGCAGGCCTTCATGGGGCAGCAGGAGAGAGCGCGGAGGAGGAAGGCACAGCAGGAGAAACAGGAAGCTCTGAGAGAAAAGGAGAGGAGGAAGAATATGATGCAGGAGGTACTGAGGAAGCAGCAGGAAGCCTTGCACAAGGCTCAAAGAAGCCACCACGATCGTGGAGTAAAGGAGAGAAACAGGCCCACAAGCTCCTGCAAGGTCTGTGAACACAGGGCAGTGTGTTTGACACAACCTGAAATTAACATCACACCTTCCCCCTTCTCTCGACGACAAATTCATTTCCTTCTAATCCTCTCTATTCACTTGCCCGTTGTACCTCTCTTCACCTCTTGACCTCACACCGCCCGAGTGTCGATACTGCTTCTCTCCTGCTCCCGCCTTCTCCCCACTCCTATCTTTGCCCTCCCATGGTCTGTCAACTGCCTGTTTTCCTCTCTCCCTCACAGCTGAAGAGGGCCGAAACGTTGCGGCTCTTTTCTTTTCTTTACAGCATGGAATAAACCTTTAGTTGTTCCTTTGCAGCCTGTTAAAGCTAATGCAGCTACTGTACCTACTTGAACTTCTACTGCCTGGTTAGCAGCGTTCCTGTCCATCCTTATCCAACAATATTTCTAGTAGCAATCATACATCCCAGACCTGTCAAAGAACTCTTATTTTGTTCTATGGATGATTAGTGATACCTTATTATTATGACATCTTGACACAGAAGCTTCAGTTAATGATGAGTGGTCCTGATGGAATTGATTTATCTACTGATATATTTGATACATTTTCACTTATTCACCTTTATTATATTATATGATCATTGCTCTTACTGTGAAGTAATTGTTATATTTGGAGACTTCAATGGGATACAAAAATGCAGTAAATACAGAAATCATAATGGAATAGAGTGTCTATATAATGCCCTGTAAATTAAAAAAGTGGAGTTTGAGTAAGAATTTGGAATTAACTAGAATGTTGTGGGTTTAAATACCATATGGGATGTTGCTATTGTACACTAGAGCAATGTGCTTCACCCAGGATGTTCCATTAAAATGTACTAATGAGTGCAAATGTAAGTTGCTTTTGGATAAAAGCATTTGCCAAGTCACGTAACAACAGCTTTTGTGTAAAAATGAAATGTTACTTAATACAGTATTGGCATTCTACAATAACCTTCAGCGTTATACATATATACAGTACTTACTGTACTGTTGTCATATTTCATCATTACTTATAACTGGCCCCATCAAAACTGAGCAGGCTTTGATAGAGGTTTCAGTCTTTGCAGAAATACAGGACCTAGGCATTTCTATTTTGTTTTTCAGAAAGAAGAGCCTGCTTCTTTGGGTCCAGGTGAGAGAGAGCAGAACATGAAGAAATCCGGAGAGCCACAGCAGAAAAGAAGGTGAGAGCTTACTGTCCTGTTTTATTTTCATATCTCCAGGAAAGAAAGGCCATTCAAATCCAGTCTTTCACAGGCACAGCTCTCCAGGTTTCATCTGTACCTTTAAATCAGGGGTGTGTGACTGCAGTCCTGGGGTCTCACTAGTCCGGTAGTGGAAAAATGTGTAAAGCCACTTCAGTTAGGCCAATATATATATATTATATGGCTCTCCATACAGATTCAATCGTGCTGACTATGGCAGTGCCCTAATGCCATGATTTCATGCCATTTTAGGAGCCTTGATCATAGTATTCAAAATCCTGAAAGGCAATTGCAAACTCAGTTCAGTGTTCTTCTTCAGAATTAATCGCAAACCAAGGGACACAAGTGCAAACGATGGGAAAGTGTATTTAAACCATAGAATAGGAGGTACTGTACTTCTTTACCCAAGGGTTTGTGGGTGTATGAAACAAGCTCTTCAGCTTTGAAGCCTGTTCGCTAGATTCTGTTGAGAAACAGCTGGATGAGACCGTTTGATCATGTGCTGTAGGTACTGTACCATCTACTGAATGGGCTAGAATGGCCGAATTGCCTTCTATAATTGGTAACAATTTTTATGTTCTTATCCCTGCTTTAGTATTAGTTAAATCATTAGCTGCTCCAGGGAAACACTATTTAGCATGACCAGTTAAGCAAAATATTTGTTTAGTTAAAGGACCAAGAACTAAACTAGAATAAACGCAAGTGCCTCAGAAAATTGAACACTGCCAGATAAAAGTAAAGATAAAATGTGAAAGAAACACCAAGCGTGGTTATAACATTTTTTTTTATTGCAAGTAGTTGTCACCATGAATTATGAAATGTATCGATATTATTCATTTTCATTGCTCTGAATGTCATGGCAGTTGTGATATCATTCATAGCTGCTGCTGCTTTCTTTGGAAAACTCCATGATCCTGAATGGTTTTTTTTACCAGGTGCATATTAACAACTTTCAGTGACCAGCATAGAACTATGCAATGATGATGAAGCCCAGTAAGGGTCAACAAGTCGGTTTGTATGAGTGATTAATAAAGAATGTCAAGGGCTACGTACAAAGTCACAGTAAAGTCCAATGATTGCAGTAGCAATGATTAAGTAGCAGTAACTTAATTTGTGTTTCGTAATATAAGTTACCAAATGCATATAGCAAGTATTCCACTAAGCTGATGTACAGTCTAATCTAAATCAATTCTACCCATTACCTTAGAATGTCTTTGTGGATTTTACAGTATGATAAAAATGCATGGCTCACACAAGGACAAGGAAGCTGTGCAAAGTAGTTCAGTTGCTGTGCCTGTACTTAAATAATTAAATAATCCTGTCCATCTGGGTCCCCTCCTATGTGTTAAATGCTTTGGGATCCCTTGTGATGAAAAACTTTATATAATAGCAATTAATCATTTTTATTGTTTGTGAACACCAGCGTTGATGATGACACTGAATCTAAAATTCAATCAGAGCTTTATTTACTGTTTTACAATCAAACAGCTGAAGGCATGTGAATCATGTCCAACTAAACAGGTCATTCCTTCCCAGTTTCTCTTATTGGCACGTAAATGCAAAAGGGTGTCACAAATCCATATTTATTTCACAAGAAATAAAATTCTTGAGTAATGGGTAAGCACATGGCCCAAGTCTTTGTTCTGTTATAGAACAAAGAGGTCTATAACAGGGCTATCTCCCCCTGCAACTCACAACTGGCAACCTGCTGAAGCTAAGTACTGTAGGTGAGCCTGGTCAGTACCTGGATGGGAGACCACCTGGGAACAACTGAGGTTGCTGCTGGAAGAGGTGTTAGTGAGGCCAGTAGAGGGCACTCACCCTGTGTTCTGTGTGGGTCCTAATGCCTCAGTATAGTAACAGGGACACTATACTGTAAAGAGGCGCCATCCTTCAAATGAGATATAAAACCAAGGTCATAAATCTCTATGGTCAGTAAAAATCCCAGGGCGTTTCTCAAAAAGAGTAGGGGTGTTACACTGGTGTCCTGGTCAAATTTCCCATTGGCCTTTATCAATCATGGCCTCCTAATAATCCCCACCTCTGAATTGGCTTTATCATTCTGTTTTCCTCCACGCTGATAGCTGGTGTGTGGTGAGTGTACCGGCGCACTCTGGCTACTGTCACAAGTAGATGCTGCACATTGGTGGTGGTGGAGAGGAGTCCCCATTACTATAAAGAACTTTGAGTGTCCAGAAAAGCGCTATATAAGTCTAAGCAATTATTATCATAGTGTGTAGACGAGTGAACGGCGGCAACCTGCACATTTTACTAGATTATATCATGAATGGCCAGAAGAGGGCAGCATATCCTATGAAATAAAAATGCCCTTCTATTATACCACTCAGAAGTCCCCAGCTCTTTCTGCAAGATCAGAACTTGTGATCTAATAATTACACGATAACACTTTTTAATGTTTATCCATAAATACTTCCTCCCTCATTAAAAGCTAAGTTGTTTTTATCAAGGATGTATTATTCACCTCACAGAAAAGCCGGTTATTATATAATGAAGGAAGTGGATTTTAATTGACTTTTTCCTAATATTGGCTCATATAAAACTAAGAGGCAGTAATGGCCATAATGCTCAAGATGCTAGAAGTATTGTACCAATTGCACTTAGGGAAACAGTGTTCTTTCTGAGACATTAATTCTTCCAGCTGTTACTCAAAAGAGTTTTATGACTTGAAACTGTTGCAGTTCCAATTCACATGTTAACGTAGTGTCCAATTAAGTCATGAATACTTCCCTTTTCCCAGACCTGCAGTGAAAAAGCTGAAGATAAGGGGTCAGCCTATGGAGGGAGGCAGCCCCCTGAAACTGGTAGACCTGGCCTCCTCCCCGAGGAAGGCACAGGCCAGGCGAGTGGAGGCCCTCAGACAGGCGGCGGCAGCCCTGGGCAGCCGGGTGGAGATGCAGGCTGCGCTCCTCGGCGCAGGGAGCGGCCTGACAGGACGCCCAGTGGCAGAGCCCACTGGGCCCCTGAACAACAGGAGTCTCGCCTTGGCACTGGGAGGGACGTCGGCACAACCAAGAGACCGGGATTCCACCTCCATCAGCGAGGACCTGCCCTGGAGCGAAGAGGCCCCAGAGTGTATAGCGGCACAGCCAGGTACACACTATAGTATGATTTAGTATTTGTTTTGGTGAAGCATCTCTATCTTTCTAACCTCTTTCTCCAGTACAGGGTTGCAAGGGTACCAGAGCCTGTCCTGGCTCTGGCAATCATTAGTGACGAGTGAAGCTACTGTTCCAGGAACTGAAGCCACAGTCTTTATTCAGTTCTGTTCTGGTTTAGAACTCATTTTGGGTCGCTAATAAAATGAGTGGCTCACCAAAATGGGTGGCATGGTGCAGTGGGTGGTTGCTGACCTGGGTTCAGTTCCAAACCTCGGGTGCTATCTGTCTGGAGTTTGTTCTCCCCATGTTTGTGTGAGTTTTTGCCGGGTGCTCTGTTTTTCTGTGTTTCCTCCAGTCCTCCAGTCCAAAGTTATACTGGTTGGTTAACTGGCTTCTGGGAAAATTGGCCCAAGGTGTGAGTGTGTGCGCATCTGTGTTTGTGGCTATGTGTCTGCCCTGCGATGGACTGGTGTCCCATCCAGGGTGTACTCTGCCTGGTGGTTGTTTTTTGCCAGGATAGTCTCCAGTTCCCATGTGACCCTCAATTAAAAGAAAATTGGAGAATGCCTGAATGATTTTACTGTGATTTACTTCGCTTTCCTGTGTTGCTACTGTTATATCACAGTAAATTGAAAGTTATGGATGGATGGATGGATGTTTGCCCATTATGCCTTCCAGCATGAAGTGGCAGCAACATCCTGTTGCTGTTTCCATAACGTTAGTTTTTTTCGGGACAGGGTTGTTAGCCTTGTGCCCAACCTCCAACATGGAGGACCTGGTGCCTGACATTGGACACAATCCTGCTACCCTGAGATTATAAATCTCATGCTCTACCAATAGAGCTGGTCGGGGCCAAATTGAAAGTTATAAGGATGGTAAAATCGCAGTTGTTTCTTTACTTAATTGTATTATTCTGTACCTCAACTGGTTTCTGACATACAGGCCTCTTTCTGATCTTTTCAAACTTTTCCAAACAACAAGCCAGCTGTAAATTTTTCCTCCTGTGTTTCCAGTACCTGAAGCTTTCATCACACTATTATCACAATACTTAGACGTGGACACATATAATTGTCAAGACCTGAAGTGATCCAATATATCATGAAATAGGTTATCTACTCTTGAAGTACAAAAGAAAAATGCAAACCTTATAAGACAGGCATCCATTTTGTCATGGTTTTTGAATGATAGTTCAGTTCTTCTTGTAATATTACTCCGGAAGGGTCCTGAGTTGTGTTTACAATCTTTCCACAGGTTTCCTTCAACAGACTGCTACTGTCAGAGGGGCAGAAAGTCGAGGGGAGAAATCCACCGAAAATGCAGGACCAGCAACACTCAGCATCTGGAAGCCATCAAGGTATGTTAAAGTACTCAGCTTCACTGTGTACCAATTCAGTCTTCAGTGAAAGCTCACATTTGAGAGTTTTTAATATTGCTGAGGTATGAATTCAAGTAAAAGCCGTATCACAATTCATCTTTGCACTTTAAACCCTGCATGTAAGAATATTGCAACATAGAAATACATAATATCACTTTTTTGGGAGGGGGGGTTTGTTTTCTTTTGGTACAGTATATTACAGTAAGTAAGGGGAGATTATATTGAAAACAAGTGTCTTGTATTGAGGCAAGTGTTTTCGTATTGACTTTTCTTGAAGTCACTAGATCAAGTTAAGCTAAAGTTATACATGTAACGCAGGTCAGCATAAAATTATATCAAATACTTCTTAGGCTTCATAATAGTCGTTTGCTCTTATTGACCTAGTTAGTACAGTATGTTGTATTTTGGGTCACATACAATTTATGTAAAGGAATGTTACAATATTAAAAGTTAAATTAATCAGAATTTCTATATAGTGATTATAAGAGATGTATATTTTGCCTCGATTGTAATTTAGCAAAATTACAGTAGCTTGTAGGCTACTTCTCTTTGGAGTGCTCGGGGATGAGAAAAAATATTTGCCTCAGTAAACCTTAATTTTAATAAAGATGACCTATTCTGTCTCATTTATTTAATTTACAGCAAATGCTTCCTGCGCATATATTATTGCAGCCTTAACTCTGGCTGGCTGTTTTAAAAAAATTGCTTGCCACTTGCACAATCCCGACAATTGAGTTTCAGTCTGTTGTAGTCCTGTCAATTCTATTTTGGTGCTATTGTTTCCACCTGCTACATGCTTTTTGGAGTGGGTTTGCTCTCTGGCATTAAATTACAAGTAAGTAATTACTAGAAGTTTTAAAAGCTGCATTAGTTTATGAGGTGACACAAGCACAGCAGGAGTGGGTATTAGAAGTGTTTATTAAATGAAACACAAATCTTAAAAATTCCATGGTTAATAAAAAGAGAAGGGTCGGCTTTAAGCATTGGTGGATTAAAGTGAATTTTGATACGTTAATGCCCCCCTTAAAAAATAAAAAATGGCTTATGGGATTAGTACTTTGTTTGGCTCATGTAAGTGCTGAGCTTTGCTTTATTAAAAACGGTAGACATATAGACGCTGTCCTACATTCTGTTTTAGTAATTTAATAAAAACACAAGTTTTTGATTTCCTTGTTTCTATCCTTTCCTTGAGAGCAGTTAGCTTTCTCTTTTAAAACATTTCATTCTGGTTCCGCACACATTTCTTTTGGGATGTTACCTAGTTCTCTTTGTACCCGACCTTTTCACTTGGTTCAAATAACTTTCTGGGGGTCAGGCAGACGATGAAATACAGTATCTTAATTAAAATTCCTGCAAGACAGGGAGAAACGATTTGTGGAGAACTGCTGCTGTTCGATCCGAAGCATGGCGGTGCAGTGGTTAGCCCAGGAGCACTGGTACCCCGACTTCAGTTTCAGTTATATGTTCCCCCTGTGTTCAGATGTGTTTTCTCCAGATGCTCTGTTTTCCTTCCACTGTCCAAAGACAAACGCGTAGGTTAATGGACATCTGGGAAAATTGGTCCTGTTGTATATGTGTGTGCCCTGCAATGGACTGCCACCCTTTCCAGGTATACCTGGGAAAAACTAAGGTTGCTGCTGGAAGATGTGTTAGTGGGGCCAGCAGGGGGCGCTCAACCTGCGGTCTATGTGGGTCCTAATGCCCCAGTATAGTGGTGGGGACACTATACTGTAAACAGGCGCCGTCCTTTGGATGAGACGTAAAACCGAGGTCCTGACTCTCTGTGGTCATTAAAAATCCCAGGGTGCTTCTCGAAAAGAGTAGGGGTGTAACCCCGGCGTCCTGGCCAAATTTCCAATTGGCCCTTACCAATCATGGCCTCCTAATAATCCCCATCTATGAATTGGCTACATTACTCTGCTTTCCTCCCCACTGATAGCTGATGTGTGGTGAGCGTTATGGCGCACTATGGCTGCCGTCGCATCATCCAGGTGGATGCTGCACATTGGTGGTTGTGGAGGGGAGTCCCCATTACCTGTAAAGCGCTTTGAGTGGAGTGTCCAGAAAAGCGCTATATAAGTGTAAGCAATTATAATTATTATTATTATTACCTCTGTCTTAAGGTACTGTTGTAAGAGTTATATCAATGACTTCTGAATTATATCTGTCATTTCCTTGAGCATAATTGGTAAGATACCATCAGGCCCTGGGAATGTCTTAATCTTGAGTATTTCTAATACTCAAAACGCTTCTGCCTCTTCTATACTAATTCTGTCTAATAAGCAACCTCTATTCCTTAGTAAACACCTGTTAACTGAAATACATGTTTAGTAAATCAGTCAGTACCCTGTCTTTGTCTAGAAGGTTGCCATTTTTGTTTCATATGCTTTTTATTTCATCCTTGATGGTTATTGTACTGGAAAAAAGGTTTGGTATTTAAGCCTCAATTCCAATAGTTCTTTCAATTTCCTTTGCCTTTGTGAGGCAAGGCAGTGTCTGCAAAGTGCAAAGTGATTCAAGAGACGTACAATAAGGCCAAAGAGTTAAGGGAAATGCACTTGGTTGGTAAACAAGTTTGTGAGTTGATATAATGAGAAAAATAAGAAAATAGACAGATGGAAAAAAACACTAGAAACTATGGGTGTCTTTTTCCAGAGTTACTTGCTAGAAAATGTAAAGCTTATGCTGAAGCTAATAGGGATCTGCTGAGCTGGGAACTTGATAACCACTAGAGAGAGCAGTGAGCCATGATTTCAGCCTGAATAAAAAAAAGATATTTAAAACACAGCATCTAGACCCTCAGACGTAAACTCCTTCACCTTTCTTCTTGGTTTTTTGGGGAAAATATTTTTGATGAATTTCACTTTTTTCCAAACAGAGCAGTTAAAAATAGGGCAATATTTCCACCCCTCTCACATTCCCACCAAAGTGATGCTTTGGGTATGTTGGCAATGCTGTACCACCTTCATGTGGCCATGCTTTGCAGAACAGAGAAATTACAGAAAAAAAGAGCCAGGTAGTTCATATTGAGATATCCTAATATGATAAGTCCTAGAATGAAAAAAACGTATCTGTATGACGTTTATGATTATGGAGAATGAGTATTGTGTTTTCACACAAAGGTTTTCAAGAATCTACTGAACATCAAATGCAAGTACATAATTACAGAACCCAAATGCAGTGTACAGTGAATCAGGCATAAATCAGTATAAATTAAATCTTGGAGTCAAAATAGAGCAGACTACCCGTAATTGTCACAAAACACGGGGGTAGAATTGATTTGTTTTAATTTGGCATCCTCTGGAGATCATTCACACAGTGAAATGAAGTAAATACACACTTTCTTTCCATGTCAATTTAGAATTGTCGGTATGCGGTTTTTCCCATCATATAGTGAGGGAGAGAGACAGTTATAAAACGAGAATGATTCAGGAGAAAACACGCATTGATTTGTATTATGCAAATATGAGTGGGAAGAGAATTGAGTGTTTTTATCTGGTCATGTCTATGTCTTTGTTTTTCAAAATGTTACTTAAACTGTTTACTGTAAAAGCACATACAGAAAACTACATCTCAGTTCCAAAACCCTTTCTCCATGAAAAGCTTTACCGGCAGTAATGATGACTTGCACTTGTATTTTACAACCCGATGGCGTGCTAAAATCATCAAAAATAGCAGAGGGGAAAGGCCCTGGGAAATGTTTATCTACATGTAACATGTTTTCAGGCTAGAGAGATGTGCAATGTTGAGTATTGTTAAAGGAAATGGGGGCAGAGGGAGTCAATTGACAGACACCTTAAAGAAAGGGTGCTATAAACAAGGCACACAGGAGTTAAAGTGGGAATCCCTGACAAATGCCCCTGGAGGCACTTTCTGCCTCTAAACGCCTTTGCTTGAAGGGCTGGTGTATAAAATTTTAATTGCATTAATGAAACCTGATCTCAAGCT